ATAAATAAATAGATTCTAAATATGATTTTTCTTCATGGAATCTGTATATGTATGGCTGATAAAATACGAGTGGTGTATGAAAGTACATTCATTTATAATACTTTCCTATCTAATTTGGTTTAGTATTTTTCATTGTTTCAATTGACGTTAATATTATAGCTGTACTGAACAGGCTTTACCAATTCCGTTTAAAAAAAACTCCTGATCATTTACAAATAATTTTCAAAAGTCTATGTTTATAAAAGGCTGTGTTTTTTTATTACATTCTAAAATATTCTGTATAAATAAATAAATCTTTATGAAATACGTGTACATCAGATATTTATTCGCTAACACCAATTTAATTTTTAAAATTCAATTATAGGTTCAATTGCATTTTAAAATTTAAAGGCTTTTGACTAAATAAAATGTATACTTTTGATGGATATGACTAATTGATTTGGATATAACAAATGCCTAAAAACAAAGCTGAAGCGTTTTCTTGGTAATTAAATTTCATAAGTAATAGAATGAGTTATCTTTTCTATCCAATATATTTCTCATTACTCCTGGTGCACAACAAAATTTACAGCATTGACTGAAACCAATCTGAATAACTTAATATGATTATATTCTATGGTGACAATTGCAGATTAAATTATAGATGAATGGCAGTTATCTTTACATTGATCAAATTTTGCAATTGTTTCATTTGTAATTAGTTTTTTAGTTTCCTTAATATCTGTACCCTACTGTGAAGGTACACTCTTAATGATTCCCGTTTAAATTTTTTACATATACAAATATATAAGCTAATTATGTCTAAAAAATTATGCAATTTATTATGTCTAATGTAATACAGTAAGTGATGTTAAATTTCAAAAAGAAATGTTTTTAGAAAGATTTTTGTAGATCATATGAAATTTTAGATTAAGAATTGAGAGAGAAGGTATATACTTTTAAAAAATAAGTACATAAGGTATCGCGAAGATTTATAGCAATTAGCATTTATAGAAAAATATTTGTTTTTGAAATCTTATGTATAATAAAAGATATTTATACATAAAAAGTTTATATTTTTTTCTAAATTTTAATATCAACTCATTCAATTTACAGACAGTAAAAAGTTAGCAGAAACTTGAGAAATAATATTTATAAATTGCTTTATTAATTATGATCATGCTCAAATCATCCTTGTTCTATGAAATTTTATTGGTTGTTTATCAGAGCAATGTATGGAAAACAGTAGAGACATATTTTAACTAACGAAGTTCAAATGACGATAGTGATTAAAACAAAAACACAGATGAAAGAAGATTAATTCACATAGAAAGTTTCCTGCTAAAGAAACAATAAAACAGTGAATACTAGAAATTTTGTTAGACTTTTCGGTTTACTAAAGCAAATAAAATTCATTAAAAGAATATTCATTCAGTAATTTTGTTTTTGCGCAGTCGATAAATATTTTACATAACTTTTGATACAATGATTGATTGTGACTTCTCTTTAGACATTTAATTATTAATGTAACGTTTAAACAACTTTTTTCTTCAATTAACACTGATTAAGCTTTTCTCATTGTTGCTCAAAACTCCCTCATAATTGATCAAATCACCCGCAAGGAAGAGGTTAGTTGAAAGAGGCAAGGAAAGAGGTTGGTTGAAGGAGGCTTGAAAGAGGTCAAGGAAAGAGGTTATGTTTAAAAACTAATATCATAAAAAAGTTGAAAAACATTATTAAGTTAATAAATAATATTAAATAGAGACAACTGGAAATATTAGAAAAAAAATAATAAAAATGCGTCAAGCCATGTTTCATCCTTTTGTGCATATTCAACTCGTGAAAAAGTCATGGCTAAAATAAATAACAAACTATACCTCTGATATGACAGATATTGTTAAAATCTGCAAATGATCGTGAGATAAAGCTTGTTCTGGGTAAGAGTATTTGGATTAGGCCGATAAACGCAAAGGAATGGGAGAATGGAACGTGTGAATCAATCTATTTGTAACAAAGATGTCGAATTGAACATTAAGAAAATATTTAACCGAAGGGAAAAAAAGTCATTCTATAAAATAGAGATCTCTACTGCTAAAAGAGAGGACCACAAGAAAATCTCGGAGTTGCGATCTAAGCATACTGCGTAGCAAGAGGCTAAATAATCAGAAAGAATAGCTTTCGATAAAGTTGGACAGTAAGCCGGATAATTTGTCAAAAGATTAGAAAGAACCCTCAATGCAATTGTTGTCACGCATTTTGGAGAGATCCCTCCTGCTTCCAATTATGTAACTTCGAATCAAAACAAAGTTTAATATAGAAAGAATTAGTGATGACGTAAAAAATCCAATAGATGACACGAGCAAATGGTTTGTTTCTGTAAGTAATTTAACTCCATCACAAAATTTTTCAGAACTGACTAAACATCATAATAAAAGTATTTAGGATTAGAGGATTTCCTAGATTGTTGAAAATGGCTAAAATTGCATTAACAACAGAAACAAATTAGCCATACATCGATCTCAAAACCAGATGTGCATCTATCTCAATGACAGATTAGCAAGTAATGAAATAGTGTCAACAACCAAAAATTAAAATTAGTACAAAGTTGGTGTCAGTTATTACACTGCCTTCTTTCTCAAAATTTCCAAATCATTCATCAAAATTTCTAAATCATTCGTCATCAAAGTGTGATCCTTAAGAATAGGAAATTTCTGAAGAAAAATTAGTCCTAGAATATTGGTCTTTAATTTTCTAGTCTCATCATTGTTTTTTGCCCAATACTAAGGGAAGGTTAAAACAATTGAAATAAATCGCGCTTTTTGACAGATCAGTCAAAGAGAAAATCAATAAGAAGCACGAAAAATTATGAAAAATATTAGAAAAAGAGACTAAGGAACAACATCAAACAGTAAATACTAAAATTGCCTTTAGACTTTTCGGTTTATTAATGCAAACAAAATTCATTAAAAAAATTCGGTTCAGTAATGTTATTTTTCAACAGCAAATAAATATTTGATATTGCTTATGGCATAAATATTGATTGTAACTTCAATTTAAATATTTAATTATTATTGCCCAATAACTTCTTTTTTTTCTCCAATTTTCACTGATCAAACCTTCTTCATGGTTGCTCAAAACACCCTCATAATTGATAAAATCAACCGCAAGGAAAGCTCTTTGGTCATGTATAAAAACTAACAACATAAGAAAGATGAAAAGTATTATTAGTTAAAAAAATTTAAACTAAAAATATTAGAAGAATTTTTTAATAAAAATGGGTCAAACCTGCCATGTTTCTTCCATTTGTGCATATTCTACAGGTGAAAAAAATCATGTATTAAATAAATAACAGAAGTATAATACTGATATGACAAAAAATATTTTTGAAATAGGCAATAGATCATGAAAAAAGAAAGTACAAATGTACGAAGTGTTACAAAAGTGCTTGGATTAGACCGATAAATGCAACAAAAAAAACTTGAAAATGGGATAGTATAAATATGCGAAGAGATATAATAGTGTTTGGTAATAGTGTTTGAATTAGATCGATAAATGCAAAAGAATGTGAGAATGGGACGTGCGAATCAATCTGAATTTTACAAAGTTGTCGAGTATAGCAGTCAGGAAATATTAAATTCGAGGGAACACAAACAAAATACCGATCTCTATTGCTAAAAAAGAGCACCTCAAGAAAATCCCGAAAGCGCTATACCAGCATACTGAACCACTTTCGAAAAAGCTAGAATGGGACGGAACCTTTTCCCAAAAGATTTGAAAGAACCCTCAACGCAATTGTTGTCATTCATTTTGGAGAGATCCTTCCTGCTTTCAATTATGTAATTTCGAATCACAACGAAGTTCAATAATGATAGAGTCAATAGCGACGTAAAAGTCAAATAGATGACGCGAGCAAATGGTTTGTCTCTGAAAGTCACTTACATCATTCACAAATTTGCTCAGAACTAACTTAACTTCTTGAAAAAGTATGTAGAATTAGAGTACTTCTCAGATTGTGGGAAAATGACTAAATTGTACATCAATTTCAAAGCCAGATATGCATCGATCTCAACGACAAATTAGCAGGTAATGAAATAGTGCCCACAACAAAAAATTAAAATCAGTACAAAGTTGGTGTCAGTCGTCATCAAATTCAACTTTTTCAAACAGTAAATTCATCAGTCCAAGCTTATTTCTTATACAGGATTCAATCCCGATTTTCATATTTCGTGTTGTTTCTAATGCTACTTGGCAATAGCAGCAAGCCTGCTTGGTAAAAACAAGCGAATTTAAGGCAGATAGTGCGTTTCCTGCTTTCCAGTGACTCTGCCTATTTCCGACAACAATTCTTACTCTTTATTTTACAATAACAAACTTAGTTCAGACCACTTCCCCAACTATCATTTTATACTCAATTTGTTATATTTAATAAAAAAGATGCCTGGTAACTAATTTTATAAAAAAAGTGATTATTCTACAAGTTTGGGTACATTTTGTTAAACATTTATCCATTTACTAAATTCTTATCTTAAATGAGATTTGAAATTGTACAAAGTATTCCGTATTTTAATTATATTCCTTCACTTTGTCAGACATCAAGTAATTTTTTTAGCAAAATGTACAATTATTCTAAGATTTCAAGCAAAAAAGTTTGAGAAGTTTTTATTTCTTACTTATATTTGTTTATGAGTTACAGAGCATAGAAGATCGATGAAAGCTTAATATCCAATTTGCAGATAAATAAAATAAACTGAATTAAATTAGATTATTATTCTATTCTTTTTCTTAAAACATTTGTCAAACTGCAATTGAATTTTTTCATTCTCGAGTATTTTGAAAGTTTTTAAAATAAACCTTTTCTATCTTGTGTTAAGTAACATAACATAGCTACAAGCATGTTAAAAATCAAATTGTAAAGTTACAAAATAACAACATAACATAAATAACATACAAAATAACAACAATATTAAAGTTAGAAACATAAATATTGACACTAAAATATAAATTGAAAATATGTGTGGTACCTGTAGCAAGTTTTTCCATTCGATTTGTAGTTTCATACTTTATGATAGAAAACTGTGGTAACTCAGCGTCTTCAACTCCAATTACTGGCGTTTGCGTCCAGTACATTTCAACATCTGCTACAGTATAACCATCTGAAAGAGTCCAAATTAACATTTACTCAATTTGGTTTTATATAATAGCTAATTTTACATCGCTTTTAAACAATGTGAATAAATCTTAAGCAATACATTACACTCTGAAAGAAAAGATCTTTTTCATAAAAAAATAACTATTGTGCTTTTGAGAAAGGTGAAGCTATGAGCTTATATTTATCTACTAATTAATACTAAACAAATCTAGAGAAGGCGAATGTGAATCACGCGGTTTATTTCCAATTTTAATAAATTGGAAGTAATAAAACTCATTTTGAATGGAATTTTGGAAAACTAATTGCAATAAGATATGTTAATTGAAAAAATTTCATGTATTAACTGATTGTAATTATAGAGAGTTTAATTTGTAGATATAGTGTGAAAGAATGACCTAACCTAAAAGATATGTTTAAGAAAATATTTGAATCATTGAAAGCTAAACACGTTTTTTAGGATTAAATACACATATCTATATTTAAAGTTTTCAAACGACATTGAATCCAGCTAATCGTTCAAAATTTCAAAAAAGAAGAAAAAATCTAGAGTGTATCGTTATTTTCTTGTTCTTTTAAGCATTCTCTTTCAAAATATACCTTAAAAGAAGGTCTACTCAGGCGTATACACTAGTCTTTAAATTTCATGAAAAAATTTGTGACTCAAACTTAAGAAAAAATCCTAATACAATTTTCAATATTAAACAAATGCCGCTATTATAAGCCATCAAGTAATTTTCTTTATTTAATTTTTTGAAAAAATGTGATTTCAAAAATGTGTTTGTAAACTGGTTTAAGGTTTATATTTATAATTTTAGGAAGAATTCTATGTACAATGTAAACATTTCCTGATCAAATTATGGTGAACTGTACTGGTACTTAGGGTGCTGGTACTTTTTATATTAAAATCCGTTTTTACCAGAACAAATTTGCGGAACAAAAAAATCTGATATATTTTAATTTTTACAGTAATAATTACTGAAAATCACTGCATCACTCTTATTAAATAAATATTACTGTAAAATTGACGGTAAAATATTCTACGGTAAAATAGATTTTATGGATGATTCTCCCAAAATGTTGTTACTTTATACCGTAATTTGATCCGGAATTTTCTCATCGTGTATATTCAACATATAAGTTTACTATATTGCATTATATGCAACATTTTACAACTATTTTTGTACCATATATTTTTAAAATTGGAATCATTAAATTAAATTGATTAATTGTATTAGTTTACATGAGTGAAACCCGTTATACTCAAAGAATTACATGTACGTAAACACTTAAAAAATAAAATTATATAATTACAATTAAATATACTAAGCAGCAATTTGGTTCATAAGCAATTATTATTTATTATTAATTGTAATGGTTAAAATTTTGTGTCATTTAAAAAAAAAGTACGGAGTCGCAAACTTTTTAAACAATAGTTTCATAAATAACACTCATCTTTGTATTCAAATGAAGTAACTAAATGTCAGCTTTAGAATATATGATTTAAAGATATATATTACTTCTCTTAAATAAGAATGATTTTATAACATTTTTATAGATTATTCGAATGTATAACATCATGAAATAATAACTGCCTTGCTTTAATTCATAGAAAGAATATTCGAATACATAAAAATTAAAATAAAAATGTAGTTCAGTTAACAAGTAAATCATAAAATGACTACTTTTAAAATTTATGTGATGTAATTCCTTTATACTAACAGAGTTTAAAAGAACAGAAAAAATTTCATGTTCTCATAAACAAAATGAAATAGAAAGAATTTATTAAAAGGGGGTTCAGAATTATTTTTAATTTTATAAAACCTCACAATTTGTGTCATCATAACTTGTCTCAATGCTTGTAAACTCATAAGTAATCGGTTTTTAGAAATGGTTGCCCTAGATATATCTGCATTACGCTGTAAAAGCTTTTTACCCTACTTTTACCGTAAAATCCATTTTTACTGGAATATGTAATCTGATATACCGTGATTTTCTCAGTAATAATTACCATGAAATCACTAAATCACGCTTATTAAATAAATATTGTAGTGAAAATTGCGGTACAATAATTTACGGTAAAATGGATTTTACAGATACGGATACACCCACTTTACGGATGATGTACTTGATACCATAATTTGATTCAGAATTAATTTTTTTAAGGATATTAAAAAAATAGGATCATCGTTAAACTATTAACTGGAAATATTTGATAGAATAACTAGAATTTGAGCATAATATATTTTAGTGAAGTCAGAAAAGGATTATCTTTCATGAGTGATATATTGCATAGTGCAAATTTTTACTGTGATATAGTGCAAAAAAATTTATATAGTGATATAAGGCAAATTGTCACTTAATTGAGGCTTCATCAAAATTAAAAGTGGTAAATATTGCACACACTCCTACATTTCTATGTAATTCAAGAGCAATAAAAAGCGATAGATTCTATACACTGAGAAAAAATGCTCAGAACTCTCAGAATATGGTAAAATTTACCGTGTTTCTGGTTCACGTATTATTGTATTATAATATGTGATAAAATTTGGTAAACAGGGAAAAATTTGGACATTTTATCATTATACCTTACCTTACAGTACGGCATAAAAATATTTATTCGGTTACACTTACATTTGATTACAATTGAAATTTGAATTTTTTACAAAATGTGTGGTAATAGGAATTATAATTTTGAAAAGCAAAACTTTTTCTAAGTCTTTATCATTCAACTAAAAAATTACCGAATGAATCATTTAAAAAGCGTATATTTTTTTTATTTAACCAAATGCTTGCTTTTTTTTATAACTAAAAATGCCATTACCATAAAATACTCTGATTTTATCACAATTATTTCTCCGTATAGGAATGCAATAGGTTTGGATAATTGCATATCAAAAGAAAATTACGAGGTTGAGTGTAAAAACAAATGATATAACAATATAATTCCACTTGTAAAATGTGTAAAAAAAGTGAATTACATCAATTCGAATTAAAATAAAAATGTATTGCGTGCAATACCTCAGATCTCAAAAGACAAAAAAATAACACTTTTTTTAAATCAAACACATTTTAAAGATATATTTAATTTTCTTTTAAACATTTTATTTCTATAAGAGGAATAAAACTTATTAATTTAAAAGAGATTAAAAATGATTTGATTATATTAAAATAAAATTACTTCTTGAATAAGAACAAATTAAACTTTGTCACAAATAGCATTTTGTAACTTATATTTTGCAAATCATTGGATTTAAAATGTTGACAATTGTTCAGCTTAAAAAAAGTAAAGATATTAGGAATAAATGTATCATTTTATCATGGACACATCATGCAACAAAAATATGCATTGAATTTCGGAACGTAATTTTTAATGAAGAGAAATTCATAGATGAACTAATTGAAAATTAGAAATTTAATGGCAAGAAAAATATATTTTAGATTATTTTCCTTTTGTTGGGGATCACTTTTCATTTTAAACACTATTATTTTAATAATCTATTCAGTCTTAAATTGATATAATATTTATGGAAACAATAATATAATTTCAGTCTTAATATGTTAAATAGAGCATAAAAGTTTAAGTAGAAAATAAAATTCGTAGGAAATAAAGGTAACTGTTTTTTCGAAATAATCTGAATTTTGATTTAACAGTTTATTTATTGATCCGATGCACTGTGATTAAAAAAAATGACATTACCTATTCCATCGAATAAAAATAGAAGGAGCAAAAAGAAAGTGCAAAATTTGTAATTATCTGACAAAAGTGTTTAAATGTAAACAATAAATAAATAAAATCGCTTTATAAATATATTTCACACAATTTAAGTATATCTAGTACATTTAAGTGCTCTTAAAATTACTTTTCAATTCGTTAGTTATTTCTACTTCTAAAATCTAACAGAAACCATTAGCTATATATATAGTATAAAGTTGGGTTTAATTCAAAAATTGCATTCATTTCAAACATCTGCGGATTAAATGATATGATTTTTACGCACTTAGATAAATTTTTTTTATTTGAAAAGCGTCGGAAGGCATAGAAATACATATAATACAAATATGAGTGCTTTTTTTGACAGACTAGAATTGTTTATTTCGAGATATGGAAGTTTATTACAATTTTTAAGGTATAATTTCAATAATTATCATGTTTTCACATATTTTTTTGCATCTCTATAATTAAAGGCTTTAATAAAATATATTTTTCTACATTTATGAAACTCGTTCAACAGAATAAAGTTTCATGCAAAAAAAAATACTAAGCAAATATTTTTATTTTATAAGTTTAAGCGTCATAACAAGCATAGTGCATCCTCCATAAAATTTATGGTGTTACCGTTATAAAAGAAATAAGATCATTAAAAGTGCATAAATTACATATCTGAAGTTATAAATAAAATTATTTTTTTAATCTTTCCTTTTGAAATTAATATTTTTATGATTTTATTTTGTAACATAAACATTTAAAACAGTTGCAAATATTACATAATTACTCATTTTTTAAAAATTAAATCATGCATTTAATAGGAAGCATATTATATGATGTAAACACTACTGTCGTTCATTACTTACAACTTTCAATTTCTACTGTACAATTTTGTGTGTCTAATGGGTAATAATGTAGATCCATCATGCAAGCTAATGTTGTTGTAAACCTGAAACAGTAACCATATCTGTTAACAATTATGATGAGAAAAAAATAATACAGAAAAGTTTGGAACTAAAAAAAGTTATTATAAATATATAAAAAAACATTATTAATTGAGGTAGCATCTTTTTCAGAAATTGATATTGTACACTAATGGTATAACCCTTTTTAAAGGTTTATCTTATAATTATATATTCCTCATAATAGACTCAAAATATTGGCAATTTACATTTTTTGAAACTTTCAAATGATGCTCCATTTCTTACAATTCCATAATGTGTAATATATTTTGTTATTTATCAATAATTTTAAATACATTAATAATGTGAGATTAAATTTGAGTGAAGTAATGCTTCAGCATTAATTGACGTTTTACATAGTGAATATCGAACGATACACAAAAATGAGTCAAGCATTTGCATTGGTACTGTAAAACAGATTAAGGGTAAGTGAATGTGATCAAAAGTTACATTATTTTTATCAGTTTCTAGAAAATATCACTTAGTCAAAAACTTTTACACCTTTATATTACCAATAATTAATAAAAGTTAAAACAAAAGCTGCAAAAATATATAATTAATAAGAATAAAAATAAGATAAAATAATAGAATAAAAATAATGTAACTAAATATAAGTTTAAAAAGACATATCGTTATAAATCGGAGCGCTATAGCAATAACATGAATTGTATTTCAAAATAAATGGAATTAAAATAAAAATAAAATGAAATATTATTATTAATATACTGCGCTTGAAAAATAATACTTATTTAAATATTTTGATTAAACAAATTTATCGAATTAAGAAAATTTATAACATTAATCATGTGTTTAAAAAGCAACATAAGACATTTATTCGCAATGTAATAAATCATTATAACCAAATACCAATTAGTACTCAATTTATGGTATTTAATATGACTTTTAAAATTAATATTCATATTTCAAAACTATATAAATAAAATCTTTTTATTTCATGTTTTAATTTTTCGTATATTGAACAACTATTTCGCTCATTTATAAGTTTATGTTATTGCTCTCACTAATCTTAGTATATCAAATTCCACAAAAATAAAGTTTTAAATCAATTTTAAAATTGTGCACGAAACATGTATAAATACAAATTCTATCATTATACAAGCTAAAATATTTCGGCTGCAATGGGAGTTATCTTTCGCCACTAGGGGAGCCTCCCTATTAGGAACTTTTCCTTCGTGAGTCAATGAATATGAATTTTTATTTATCTAAATTATCTTAATTTCATGTTTTCTGATGATTAATGTCGAAAATGACGTTTAAATTGGTTCGATATTTGATTTTCAGTCGGATTTGGCGGCAAATATGACATAATCGCCAAATATTTAAATTAGAATTAAAAATCTTATACAGAACTAATTTAAATGCTATTTTTGACAATAATTATCAGAAAACATAAATTCAAGATAAATTCATGGAACTATTCATAATAGAATGTGCCCCATATGGCGTACGATAACATTATCAGTCATGGGTTCCTACGCAATCTTCATGATGCGCCCTACCACCTGTCTATGGTTAAATATATATCTATACCTATCTTTAAATGTTTTCTTTTTGCTTCATGAATAAGCAATGGTGACTTGTACACGTCAATTAGAATTTTCCGTCTGAAATTACGGTGCAATACTCCCAGTTGTCTCTCCATCTGATTAACCATAAAGTTTATGGTTAGTATAATTTTTTACCTTTACGGTTTAGAAACTGTTTACAACTGGTACCGTAAAAACATGATTACAAAACTATACGGTTTTGTAACCATTTATAACTAGCATAGTTTCTAGACTATAAAAATTAAACTTAAACGCGCATTGGAGCTCTGTGGTTGCTCCGCCATTTATGCGTGAATGATAGTTTCATTTTCTTACAGATCAGCGATTGATAAGTGCAGGACACTGGAAGCTCTGCCGATCATGATATTGACTGATTAGCCCTCTCAGCTACACGCCGCCACAAAACGGCATTATAAGGTGGGCCATAATTGGCGCGGGTAGAATTCTGGTTGTTTAACCGGATTAGGTAAAATCAATCAATAAACATTCACACGTAACAGTTCAAATATCATCGTTTTGATGGTTATTTGACTGTTTTGTTGAGTATGTTAAAAAAACAATGAAATAAATTGAAATTTAACCAATTTTGATGAGAAACTTCTAACAAAGGCTACGATGTTTTTGAATAGACAATGTGTGTTATGTGCTATGTTAAGTTTCAACACCAGAATTCATTAGAAAAATTTTGAACTGAAATAACTCAAACTCTACTTGTTTTATTTAATTTTTTTTCCTGCAAATGCTAATGCTTATTCAAAAATTAAATTAAATTTTTAATGAAAAACAGGAAAAATTTCTCAAAACAGATATATTGGAAATATAACAAATTTCGTCCAATATAACAACTGAAACACCTATAGTAAAGTAAACAATTACGTCTGTAGTTGTTAATGCTAATGTCTATTCCTGGCCATAGATGGCGCCACTGAAAACCCCCACTGCCTAAACAGGCATACGGCAAAAGAAAAAAAAAACAATTCATTTCGTAATTTTTCCGATCGTATGGTAACTGTTAACCGGAAATTATGGTTTAAAAATTGTAGTTCTTATTACAAAACATTAAGTTTAAAATACAAAACTGAAAAGTAAATTTAACCAAATAAATGGTTTTTATGCCATACTCCAAGGTATCATAATAAAATTTCTAAATTTTACCATATTTATTAAATTTTATCACATTTTATAAAACTATATTTTATCGTTATTTTACTGAAATCATTACCAAAGTACTTCGGTAAAAATTATTTTATGTTTCCTTAGAGTATGAAACACAGTAAGTTTTACCATATTCTGGAATTTTTGATCATGCTTTCTTTTCAGTGTGGAATTAAAACCAAGGAAAAACAGTTCAACGTTTGAAAATAATGGGAGGAAAATTTGATAATCTTAATAAGGTCAATTGAATCATGTTTAAATTTATGTAGTAATGAAGTTTAAAATGTGGTTTTATTTTTCATAAATTAAGTTTGCACCAACTTTTTACTTATTCTGGTTCATCATGGCATTGATTCTGATATTGTATTGCTAATTATGGATCTTCTTAAGAAACGTTTCCTTACAGTTAAGCTATAATTTTATGCAAATTTAGAGTGTTTGGTGTTTATATTTCACAATTGTTACAGTTTACTGGCAATTTTCATTTTTTTTCTGACAGAGCTTTTTTTAAAATCTTGCAATTTAAATTGCTGAAGTACAAGAGGTGACTTTGAACCGTATTCGTAACGTAAATAATCGTTATAGAATTAATCTTAAAATTTTTTTGATTTTCGAATATACAATTAAATTTAGAAAAATGAAATTTAAAAAGTGTTCAATTAAAATTTAAAAGTTAAAAAAACAACACGTTTTTTTTTAAATATTTGAAACATACCATTTCTGAATCAAAGTTAAAAATTACCTTTACCATTTGATAAAAAATATTTATTAAAAATAACAATTTTAAAACAATTTTGGTGATATATAGAATGCATATCATTTTGTATCGTAATACTAATATATTATCCATAGGTGTTTTAAATATTAGAAGTGGAATTTTATAAAATCGTACTTGCAAAAATATAAATATTTTTCACTTGAAAAGTCTTTTTTTAATCATTTTATTCGGATTTGTTTATTTAAAATGTTCAATTTTATAATAATTAATATAAAGGACAAATTATGTGCAATTTTTAACTCACCTCATACCATATGCAATTTCTCCATTTGATCGCAATCGCACCATTTTATTTTTTTCAGTAACTTCGTGTAAAAAAGAATTCTTATCATTTGCAAAAAATGTATCTGGTACCCAAATTTTCTCTGCAAAATCACCTGAAAGTGTAAGTTCGTAATTTTCTCTGCTAAAAATCAGCCTTTCATCAGTCCAGAACTGATTCAAGTAAAGTGTTAAAGTATAATCCTGAAATTTGAAGAAAATATAGAATTTAAACACACAGGATTTAAAGGATTTCACAATATAGAAATTAAAGGATTTAATAAACGATTTCACAAGGGAGTATCACCATCTTTTGTATAATTTAGGCCCGTATTCAGAAACCTTTATAAATCGAGTTAGAATAAGCAAATGATTTAACCAATCTTCATTTTTAGCAACCTTTTTAAAGTTGAAAATTAGCGATCATGCTTAAAAAGTGGCAACCTCGAACATCAAAATCAGGGATTCAGCATCACTGATCAATTCAATAGTCCGACGTGACGACGAGCATAAGCTGCGCAGTTAAGAAAAAATAAGAAAAATTTCACTACGTTCGTTCTACTAAGCTGCGCAAAGGGGAAATACGCAAGATGTCATTACGATTGGTCTACTAAAAGATGGAATTTATTGTTTATGGTAACCAGTGCCGAGACCTTCTCTCTTCTAAAAGGTATTGTTAAGCGCGGTCATAATGGACTATTATCAACTTGGTAAGAACATTTAAAACATAGAAAACCAATTTTTAGATATATTTCACTAAAATGAAATTCAGGACTACATGTTCAACTGTTCAATCAATTTGATAAATATGACGGCTGCCTTTTGTTTTCCGACAAACAGTCCGCTGAATAAAATTCCTATAAAGACTTTAAATATACTAATTTGAGAGGGAGATCTATCATGAGATCTATCATATGAGAGAGAAACTATCAATGAACTTGATGAGCACAATTTTAACAACTATTGAAAGTGAAATATTTAAAAATAAAAAATAGAAAATAAAAAAATATAATTTTTTCCAGCATTCACTTATCATTTAATCTTATTTTTACACTATTCTAAGAATCATTTAAAGGCTAGAAGAGTTAGAAAAAATCCATTGACTGTTATCTGAATATTCAAAGTTATTTAAATCAAATGCAATGAAATTATAGATTTCTGCCATTTACCTAGATATTTTTATTTTAAGAAGCATAGCAAGAACTCTCCTTCTCGTACAAAGCCCATAATGCAACGATAATGATTATAATTTGTTCTCAAAGTAAAATTTCTGGAAGTGCTTCGGTTTACATAACGTAGTTAGTGTGCACGCTGCATTGATTTCCTTTTTTTTCCCTTCTCAATAAGCGTTGGTTGAAATACCGACTTTAATATTTTATTTTCTCTTTGAATAATAAGTTTTTTTCGATAAAAATACGCATATTAAATTATTTTATAAAAATTTGTTCCTTTTTGTTTTCAACATAATATTAACTAATTATTTATAAATTTAGAGCTTATAAAGAAAAATTAAATAAATGTTACTAATTTAAGATACTACTCTGTTTATAATTACTTGATAATTCTCAAATAATATTAAATATTTCTTTTTAAGAAAAAGACAAGTATGTTTAAATCAAACTTAAAATTTTAATAAAATAATATTTTGTGTCATAATCACTTTTATTTTTACATCATTTGGATTACAGTAAATTGTCTGAGTTTTATTATGATATATACCATTTTTTTTAACGTAACATATATTTCTAATATTGTTGTTCTTTGGAATTATTTTATTACACACTCTTAACTAATAATACGTATTTTATTTCCTGATTGACTTTTAAAAATATATACTAGAGACCTAGTAATTAAATTGAAACAAATAAGAGTGTACCTAAAATACCATAAAATTGTAACATTCTGTTTATTATCTCTGTAAATATATGAATATATTATTAAAAAATGAAAAAAGGAACAGCTTATTTTACTATCATTTGTGTTACGAAACATTTGTTATATAAATTGCAGTGTAAAATTCAATTATTTTAAAATGGCAAAATTTAGAACATTTATTTTGAACAAAGGCTTTTTAAAGCTGCAGGAAACGTTTGCTTGTAGTAAAGAAAAAGAATTAGCAACTGTCTTTTAAATAAATTAATTATATGTATTGAACTATATTATTTATCTAATATCAAAAATACGTTCTTTATTTCTATTATAAACTCGTAAAATGAATATTTTTGCGTTTTAATCTTCAAACTTAAAACCTTGAATGCATCTCAGATTATAAAAAAAAAAAAACTTCTAATGAGAGAAAAAAAAATTTGTTTTCAGTTTTCACAGAGCAAATTTTGCGTGATACCAACAATGTAATTCAACCCACAACCTGACCACCGCCTTGTATCCCCAGTTCGTTGGAACAGAATACAGACCCTAACAGTTAAATTTTAAACGTGTTTCATTTAAAAGTTTGTAATCTGTAAAAGAGTCCTTCAAATATTTCACAAGCATGCCCTTTTTTTATGCTGGACCCTTCTTCCCTTTCCCAACAAACGTAAGCAAATAAAAAAAACTCATAAGCCTATGTAGGAAAGAATCAAACTGTTTAGGAATGTATTTACTGTTTTTTTTTTTTCATTTCCTTTTTTAACTTTCACTTATACTGTAGTAATTTAACTTTAGGATTAAACTGTAATATCAGATTTACTTTGAATTATACAAAACTTATAATTCATTTCATAAAATATATGAATAGAATATTATTTAAGAATCTTGGGTATTTTTTCTGTTGTTTCCGTAACTCCTTGAAAAAAAAATTCCAGCTTTTTCTAATAGTAAATTTGCAACAATTTTTATTCCAAATTCAGGGAAAAAATTCATTTGTCACTTTCTTCCCAACTTTTTCTTTTTAGTATAAAGAAAATCTTAAAATAAGGAGATTTTAGCACCTTATGTACGTATAGCTGATAGCACTTCTCTTTTTATACAAAATAAGAAAACCATAAACACCTTTAACTCTTAAAAACTTACTCAATATTTGAATGATTCCACAGTTTGAATATGGTTAGGCAAATTTTAAATAAATTTATATTTTCTGAAACCTTACATAAAATGTAGTTAGTAATATAATATAATTAAACTTTCGAGCCTATGTATAAATGTTAAAACAAACTGTCTTAAAAAAAGAACTCCATTAATCGTTATGAAAGTAAACTAAATAGCAACGTATTGTTTGCACTAGTCAATATAAATTTGTTATAATATTATAAACCTATGCTTTAAATATTCTTGTGAAATTGTTCCTGGCTATATTTTTATTTTATCTTGTTATTTTTTATAGTAAAACAATTGTTAAAAAAATAATTAATATTTATAATTGTTTGAAATATAATTTTCATCTTGTAAATATGTATTACATCCTGCAATTATGCATTATGTTATCTATCTATCTATCTATCTATCTATCTATCTATCTATNATATATATATATATATATATATATATATATATATATTTCCAGTATCGAATTGAAGAACTTTCTCTAAAAATATGTGGACACATTAAATTTTACATTTCTGAAACAAGTAAGGAGTGGAATACGTCATTTACCAATTACATATTTTTTGTATATAAATGGTCGTTCGAATAGAATTATGATTTAAAAAAATTATTTTATCGTGAAGGAATTGTTAAAAATGATTAATATTTATAATTGTTTGTAACATAATTTTCATATTAAAAAAATTACTAATTTCAATTAGTTCTCTGCAGTTCATATAAGCAACAAATACAAATATAAATGCAACTCGTACTAAAGCAGTATTTCCTTACTGCTAACAATTTTATAAATCATGAAATAATACAAAATTAATGATAAAAAAAATTTATTAATGAATAAAAATAATAATTGCCAAAAATTTTTCTTGTTTTATAAATAATATGGAAAAAGAATTAAGCGAAAAAAAATTCAGAAAAGTTTCGCAGTTTTTAAATACAAAGGAAAAAGCATACTGAAAAATAAATTACTCTATAAATAGATACAAGTAATATTCTACATTAATTTTTATCAGTAACTATTTTTGCCTTTCCTGTCGGAAAAATTATATTTTTATTGTTTTATTTATTGTCTGCATAAAATAAATGATCAATTCTTACAGTTTAAAAATTCGATTTCATTTAATATATCAAGGCAGACGATATCCATCGACACACTTCAATTTCGCTCCGTATGACAACACTTCAGCTAGCAATCGTGCTAATTCAAGCATGTGATTAAACATTAAAACGGTTTTTCAATGAGAGCATTAATTTGTTAAAATTAGGAAGATTCTGTACTAAAAGTTATAACAAAATAAAATCTAAAAGACAAAAATGAATTATAAAGTCTTTATATCATTGAAAATGTTACATAAGAAATGCTTAAAATTTTCCAACACAAAACAACAATTTATTCTACCTTCTGAAAAATGAGTATTTCTAAATTAAATGCTTTTTTAATATTTAAATTTAAATTGTTCATTGTTTCTTCATATAATTTTAATAATTGACATAAATTAAGAAGTCTGGAAAGAGCTTTGCTCTTCTTAAATAATTTTAATTTTATTAATTTTACCTATCTTTTATATTCCTTTTTAGCGATTTTTTTAAAGAAACAGTAAATTATACTATAAAAGAAAAGTAGCGGCCTCTATTCAACTCGCAAATTATTAAAAATTTAATAGACGCCTAACAATGTCTAAAGCGTAGGGCCGTCTTGTGTAATTCCAACGTTCACTCATTAACTTTTAAAACTACTTTTTGTTTCAAGTCTTATGAAATTAACCTGCTTAAAAACTATAAAAAAATGAAGAGTTGTATTATATAAAACTCTTTTGTCTGATTAAAAGAATGACTAAATTTTTAAATTCGAATATACCCTTCTTGAAAAACTAAATAATTAAAATAAATTAAGTATTATGCAAGCTGTTTAAGTAAAGGATCAATTTTCTCAGGTAGTTTTAATATTAGTATTTTAACAAAGAAAGGAAATCTCAAATAGTAATTAATAAATTCAATCTCTAATTAATATCTGATCTGAATGTTTCAGATGGATGAGGCAGACACATATTTGGCATATTTAAAAACAAAATGGAAAATAAGTCATCAATTTAAATCAATGCGCACGTTTATATTTTTATTTCATTATTTAACTGAAAATAAAAAGTTTCTTGTGCAAACAAATAACTTATTATTTTTACGTTAACTCCCCAATAGATGTCGCTGCTATACAACGTATTATTCAGAAATTTTTTCCTCTGGAAAATAGTTCTATAATTCTCATCCGGCTTTGCAGAAATTTGGTATTTCTTTATCCAAATTAGATCACAAATTATTCATAAATTTTAGTTCATACAATGTTTATTTATTTCAATTGAAATTATTTTTAATGCTAAAAATTATTTCATAAATATTAAATGATTTATTCAAAATCATTTTTTAAAAATGATTGAGTTACGATACGAAGTTTTGCTTTAGTTTACAATCATTATAAACAAAACAGATTGATAATTTTTAAAAAAAGCAATAATTATTATCTTATGCAGTTACCATTTTTCGTTTGATTAACAATAGAGAACTTTTTTAGTCATAAATGCCTTTCAAAATATTAGATACTTGTCATTAATTATTGCGTCACATTTCTGAAATTTATAAGTAATTTTAATAATAATTGTTATAAAATGCAGCAAACTGCAATGCAAATATAAGGTTGAGCACCAAGCAACTTCCGCGTGTTGAAAGTAAAGCAGGAAAGTATATTTTTAATGCATCGATTGGCTGAAATAATAAACAATTTTGCAAAAAAAGGTAGTTTTTCGATTGAAAATCAAACTCTCACCATATTAACTTCAGATATGCTGTCGAAACTAGCTATAACCATATCCATACCAATGAGCAATGGAGCACCTGTTGATATAAAAATATGATTATGACCACGAATAAAAAATAATATTAATAGAAACATTTAGATATTTATATTTAATACACAGTAAAAATCGTTTAATTTTAAATGCATTCTAATAACAAGAAATTTAAATTTTCGAAATTTTTATATTTTTTTAAAAATATTTTTATGCACGTTTTTTGTAGTATTATTTTCGCATTGTGGTAAGTTCTAGGTTCTGAACTATGGCTAAAGA